TAAACTTTAAGTCGAACCGAAAACTCGTAAAACCAGGGCAAGATGTGAGCAAACAGACTATTTACACGTAAACCCGTAAAATCAGGGCAAAATGTGAGCAGAGGGACTATTCACACGTAGGGCCTTGCAAAATTACAAGGAGATTAAGTTCAGTTGTTCCGGAAGGGTGAGTATCTTCTGTTCATCAACGACTTCTGTAAAGTACATCTAGGTCAACGCCCAGTAGTGTTACGTCCTCATGGCGAGAAATAAGGAAGTGACAAAGAAACAACAAAGACTGAAAAAGACAAGGAGAATAAGCCCGTGAGCTTGTAAAAAAGTAAGCGCCATGTAAATCTAGTAGTGTCATGTCCTTATGGCGAGGAACACAGTAGTAACAAAGACACAAGACAAGGAGGTAAATCAAGTAGGTTGTGAAAGAGTAAGCATCTTATATAGATCAGCAACACTCGCCATGTAAACCTTGGTCAAATCCATGTAATACGACATATTCAGATTGTGAACGAGTTAAGGACATGCACCTTCATTTAATAAAAGAAAATAAACAATTTCCGAAACAGATCAAGATGGCGACCACAAAATTTGCCTGTAGTATGAATTTAAACAATTGACCTGATTCTATTGTATGGTGTAGCACTTTTTTTTATAGGAAAGTACAGTGATAGAAACTGTAATATTGAATAAATTGTTGTTCGAAAGAGTTACGAGTGAACTCGGATATCAAATTTTAATATTTCTCTTTTCTATTACACACCATGCTTTAATGACCTTGATATATCCCCAGAGACACGTGAACTACTAAGAGTATTGTTATTAAACAGTACACAAACAATTTAAATTGCTGCCTTTAATTTGCGACATGACTCTTAATGTCAAAACTACCGACAGATAATAGATAAGAGTAATTACGATATTTGAGACCAAAAATACGACACATTTCAAATATAATATTTTGAAAGCAAACACCTGCTACATGTATGGAAAGACATAAACAAACATATAAATGAATAATTTGAGTTCTATTTTTAGCTTCTAAACATTCATCTCTATTTTTGTAATAAGAGTATACTACCATTATAGTTTATTTGTTTGCATTTTATATTTGAAATAATTTTACTTTTTATTGTTTCAATGACGTAATCTTGCATTTAAGTGTATCACAATTACAAACGTTTATTTGATCAACAGTTGTAGTGACTTTATATTTCTTGGATGCGATTGACTCAGGTTCTTTTATCGATGCTTCAACTCAACTAGGCAATACGGGAGGAAAAATTGTCCCAGGTGAAAACTTTTATCGCCATTATTGAATAATGTTTATAACTATGACAACCATAAATAGAAGTTACACTTTTTGCTTTAGCCGGCGTTCTTTTATATATATTCAATGACCTTAGCCGTACTGTTTCAAAAGTATCCATTGGCGTTTATGTAGCAGGAATTTCCTAGAATATGATAACACAATTTGCTTTATCTTCTTGATAAGAATAATGTCACGTAAAAAAAAAAAGAAGAAAAAGAAGAAAAACGCGCCAATACAAAAGATGAAAAACGATTAGGAATCTTGGAGACATCCAAAGAAACGGGAAAAAATGTCATGAGTTCTTAGGAAAATTAAAGATTCAAAATAAGGTAATACGCATGCGCAAAAATTTCCAGCAAAACCAATCAGATCCGGAGAGAATAGTCAGGTCACCAACAATCGAAGAGGATGAACAAATTTTAATCATAATTGATACGGAACTCAAATAGTTTTAAATACGATCCTGATTTTAATGACTACAACATTAGCATGAAGTATTTCACTTTTATATTTATCTAGTTTTTATTAGCTCTTGTTTCTGCCTACAAAGGCATGTCGGTGTCTTTTCAGTTGAGCTGAAGTGAAAAATTCTGTTTACATCAGCGACGCTTCGGATCTAACGTTGAGATTCAGTCCGTTGCTCATATTTGAACAGACCTGAACACTTTACTGTTCTATCTGAAGTTAAGTGTTTCGTAGCACATCTACAAAAAATATTTTTTATAGTTTCCTCATTCTAATGACGTCATGATATGTTTGCAGGGTTTGGGATATCTCCTATGGTATAAATGTCTGCTGCATATTGAGTTGTTCCCTATGGATGTGAATACTTCATAAGATAAATCTGATATCATAATATACAGTTATATCAATGCCGGCCTTCAATACAGTTTTACCAAAACACTACAAAACCGTCAGTGTTTTAAAACCAACTTTCGTTTTGACCTGTACAATAGCAATCGCACCTACGGTCGGATGTCATGGTAGCGGCGAGAAAAGTGTTTCATTTCGTCTTATAACATTTACAGCTTTGAAGAGGTGTAATATCAATATATGGGCAATTCCTTTTAGTCAATGAATCGCCCACATATCCACCACATGACCTCACATAAATGCATAAATTGTCTCCGTTCATCTGGATATCCCATATCAAAGTGACATAAAATGTTATCTCGGCCTGCTGTACCCTATTTTGCCAAAATTATAACTCAAATACATAAACCAACCAAATGCACCCGATATTTTATAAAGCACGTAAACAGTCTAAATGTAACCGGTTATCCCATATATCATAATTCTTACAAAACACATATAAAAATGACAGTATTGAAATGATTTTAATAAATATACGAGAGAGAGAGAGAGAGAGAGAGAGAGAGAGAGAGAGAGAGA